GATGGATGGATTCAGCAAAATCCGCAGGGAGGTTTTTGTTAATGTCTTTTTGTAGTTTTGTAATTCCAAGTCAATAGAATATGTGTGTCAAGGTAACGTTATATGTGTGATCATGTGTTATGTGTCAAAACGATACTATCTACCGAATAACAGAATCAATTCCAAAAAGTATGTAGGATTATTGGAAAATGCATTACCAAAGCTTATGGGTGAATCACTGCATATTCATGTGTGTTTTGCATATGTACGTGAGTACCGTGTATGATGCGCAGAACATAAGGGATACGGAGAAACAGAAGGCAATCGTTTCGAGCAGCTGAAGGCAAGGGAAGTGTATCAACGCAGGAGTGCTCACGACTAAACCTCTGCACAGTACATGTACCGTAGCCATGCTCTGTCCTTGGTGCTGAATATTTATCAATCTGAAGTAATTGCTAAAGGAAACACTACATTCTTGTTATAACGCCATAGAACCAGGCTGGTGTGTTACGCCGAAAGGCGGTTATACCGGCTACACTGATACAGAGATACAGAAGCAAGCATTAGAAAACTAACAACTACAAGCTTTGGTTTAAATTTGGTATTATTTCGCGTTTTGTTGCATGCTACATTTTGTACGTTCGCCCGGTATTAAAGGATGATCGTGGGGCTCTTATTCCACTGGCTACATTCTGATGCATTCTGATGATCCATACGTGTGCCATACATACAGGATGTGCGGAATAATGTATGGGCTTCGTGGCAAAGTTAATGAATGAATGAGTGAATGAATGAATGAATGTTAGGACTTCCGCGCTGTTCTCGTGAAAAAGTCTCAACGTTAACGATTTCCACGATCGGTTGCGATGCAAATTAAATGAGCTTGGAGGAAGGAACAGCAACAATTACGTATCGATCCTTCCACATATAGACGACCTAACTCCAGTTTAGTCTGATGGGACTACAATGCGTGCTTTACTGCTGTAGACTTTACAGCTCATCTAATGAGAGCTTTGAATAGATTTATGTCTTTACCTGCACGCGGGGGCGAGAACGATAGCGCGAATTACATAACATTGAAGTCCTTTGTGAATTCAAAACCCTCACTTTTGGTTCCTAGGAAAAAACGTGACAGTATAAAGGGAGATGTATGGTCGGGACGATTGTTTAAGACTACTCATTAAGCGTAAGGAAGCGCAGGGAATCTGTTCTGGTTAAAGCAAAATGTCAGGAGCCAGGATTCCAGGAAGACGTGGTTGTAAAAAGAGTAACATGCACTTGAGAAAGGCGCCAAGGGGCTGGCTACTGGCGTAAACAAGGCCCCACGGGCATTTGTGTGGATTTTATTTCAACTCATTACATGGATATCCCACTATTTAGCTCTTCTAAGGTCGTAGGTAGTTTTATTTTGCTTAGGAAATACACAGCATAGCGTGATATGTTATGCCAATAAAGGTTAGACATCCAGCTAATGAAAGTGTTACTCAAGCAACTGGATAGGTTTTGGAAATTGTCAGACGTTTCAAGTAGCATCCAATACTTTTCTTGACTTGACAAGTCTGACGTTTTTAAAAATCTGCCCAGTGGCTTGAGTAACAATTTCCTTGAGCATGATGTTTTATGCATGTCACAGCTAGTGTATATATAGAAAAGCTATAGTAACAGTTTTGCTGTAGTTTTAGTTTTGTCCTCTTGCAATGTAGGCCTTTTGTGAAATCTGCCCACACTGCATAAAAATGATGCCTATGCAATAACGAATAACGAGCACTCGTGCGCGATCGTACCGAGTGGATTTAGTCACATTTTTACCGCCCTTTTACCCGGGCCGTAGAAAAGTAAGTTAACAGAATCTCTTTAAAACTACATTAGGTGTGATGCTTCTCAGAAAGCAATCCATTTCAGTTTGAGAACTCTCAACTGAGCACAAGTACCCACACCAACGGGCGTTCTGCACTCAGAGGAGTCGAAAACAAGACCAGTTTATATCAACCATCGATGCAGTGTTCACAAACAAGCCTATAAGTGTGAATTGAGACTTTTACACGCAGAATAAAAGTATTTGAAACAAAAATAGTTTGAGGTGAATGATATGCTAATCAGCTATAAATGGCGGAAGAGAGATTCACGTTCAGGGCCATGTGATGAAACATATGCTCTGGAAACGTGTCCAGTTTCTCAGAAATTTTGAGGACGTCATTGGGAAGCATTTCTCTGAATTTTGTCATGACAATATCACCTTGACATTACACAACTACTATTTATAAGTGTATCGGCTTTCCCATATGCATGATTATATAACATCGGTGTTATACAACCATCAAGTAGGTAACATGGGAACGTCGCAAAAAAAGTGGTTAAAAGCAATTCAGATTCAAGTATTCGCGGCAACAGGAAACATAGTATTAAGGATCTGATTACAAGCATCAAGCAATGTACCCGCAATTAAGACAAGTATTTTCCACTCTGTTTTGTAGACCTGCAAAACATAGTCTGGTGTCAGGATTAATATTGTTGTACCAAACCTATGGAAATTAATTCTGTTTCCTCCTACCACAGTTTGTTTGTAATGCCTATGTCTAACACAGTTCCCTCTGGTCGAGTCTCTTTGTTTAATCGACCTTTGGAAGCAAACAAACCGAGAGTAAAGCTATCTATTGACCCGGATTGTCTGTAAGCCCCTCCTCTTGGAAGCCGTGATCTTGCCCTTTATGTGCTTATACGGGGAGTACCGACACTAATGGTACTGAACTTTTCCCATTCCGTATCTTTTGTTGGTGCGAATTACACGTAGACAGCCCCTGATTTTACAAGAAAGGTCAGATGTGACTTAAAACCACCATCTGCATCTGCCTTTCACTCAAGCGCAATCCGAAAACAACGTTTTGGATTATAATCGCATTTTGCGAACAGAAGAGGTTCAAACACTTATGTTTGCAAAGTGATTTGGGGTTACGTTTACTTTATTGACATCTTAAGTGATGTCTCCGGTTTCTCCTTACAAATGTCATAGGTGCACGATCACTGCTCCTAGTTTGCCGAAGTGCTGACGTGTATATATTCAAAGCTGGCTGGGTGCACCTGCCACCTCCTTGTGACTTATGGATTCTGTTCAAAGAAAGGCACTTAAAATTATAGGCACAAACGAACAGGAAGCCAGGTTGACAGTGAACATTCCATCTTTTCACCACCGTCCCCAAGTGGCTGCTGTGGCACTCTTGTACAAAATGCACACCGACACAAGGTCCAGCAGACCTGAAGACAATGCTCCCCAAGCTGTACACCCTCAGACGTACAACCAGAACTAGCATAGCTATGCCAACCCATGGCCACGCACTTGCACAACCGGTATCTAGAACCAGTTCCACTGGCCGGACCTTCATCCACCAAGGCAGGACCTTGGCCACTAAACTATGTACAATTAAGTGAGCATTGCTCACCACAGCATATTATATATATATAAAAATTGAAAGGCTATACATATACTTCGAATTCTCCAATGATTGACTTGCCGTGATATAAAGTCTATTTTTTTTTTGGTTGGAGTGATCCAGGGGTGTTTATGACCAACACCCTGAGTGTAGCGCCACGGCCCACGCTGTCCTTGTTACTGTATTGATGAATATGAAAAAAAAAACAGCTGTACATTTAGTACTATTTTAACCCAGTCACATTTGTTTTTCAATTCTGGACTGTTTCTGAATTGATAGATATTTATTTACGTTACTAAAAGAAGAGTGTTATTTACATAGATATTGTTTTTGCTGTACAAAGGTGGCAAACAAACCATAAAACGATAGCCAAATGCAATAATTACAGATCTACCCCAGACATGTACTTAGGTAAGACGTCATAGGTGCAGTACGCTCATTATTGTTACATCTAATTGCTCTGCTTCACCACTCACTCCATATATGGAAATATAGAGAATACATAATTTCAGATGCGTGTTCGAATTGCAGAGGTGAAAAATGGGTAAAGCAACTTAATGGACGATACATTGTTAACTCAGTCACATGAAAAATATGAATATTGAAATTTCAGTGAAGAAAAGGGTTAAAATTAACATTTTTTACTGACAAGTGATCCAATGGAAAATGCCATACAGATATCTGTCAAGACAAATTGCATTATGTCAATATTAAGCTGCCAGAGTACACTCATAAAAATTCATGACTTGACTTGCTTTGAATATGACTGCAAGTAATGCCTACAGGGACTACCTGAAGATGATTCTTTAAAAGGAATAGAGTTGCCGGGAATTCAAACTCCGCGCTATTCCATCTCTGTGACGGTTGTATGTTCTTTTAAATCACTCCATCTTATGACCTTTGAGCGAAAAAAAACTGAGACATGTATGACTTACTGTGCTTTTATGATGGTCGAGTATCAAGCGAATGCTGCCGCCGTCGTGAGCTTTTGGTGCGTCGTAGTTTGATGTCTATGCTTGCAATGCCATCCAAAGAAAGCATTTCAATGTACCTTCTTGATCACAAAAGATGTGACGGACAACAATTATATTGTTTGTCAGATGTTATTAATGGTTACTGCCAAATATAGAAAAAAACACATCAGTTGTAGATACCCGAAGGACCTTGGCGATCATCTCTAAATGTGGGGAGAGGGGGTCGTAAGGGGGTCCGAAAATGAAGACAGCGTATGCCGCTTGTCTACATTTGCTAATATTCTAGCACAACAGGCATAACGTGAAAGAACTGTGACAAACAGCTACGGCGGTTCGTACAATTTATATCGCGATTTTGGAGATTACCAAATGTAGTGTCTTGGATCATGGAGTAACTCTTTTAATGATGAAAAAATGTCCAATCTTTTTCCCAATTCTAAAATACAAAGTGCGACATATGTAAAACATGCGGTTGCGCAATGCCCATATCGGTAACGCCCCGTAGTTAAATTGGAAGCAAGGCCACAAATTGGCTCGCTTGTCAGCGGTGATTCAGCTGATGTGATGTAGTGTGCCATCCCAGGGAGCCGCCGTCCGACGCGATCACGCATACGTGAGTAGGCACGTAGCAGCAGCTGGTAATCCCGTACGCTGAAGTCGTTATTCTACCATTTGCTTCGCTCGTATCAACAGCCGGGGCTGAAGCTGTCCAGGAAGTCCTATCGAGGCAATCTTCGGCTCCTCTGTAGAACCTATATTCGTATGGCGCTCCGCAGTCAATAAAAGAAGCTGAAATCTTGCCAAAATGGGTTTTGCCGCCCATACAAGTCCCGCGAGCTTACCTGTGGGCCAGAACATGAGTTGTTGTAACGGTACATTTGACCCAGCGGACTCTACGAACACTTCCTTCGGGGAGGAACTGTCCTTCCTCCCGCCGCTGCATCCCGCCACGGTCGTCATCACTGCCATTCTTCTCATCCTCGCCGTTCTGCTTGGCACGGCTGGAAACATGCTGGTCCTGATCTCTTTCGTCCGCAACCGAGCTCTGCGAACGGCTACTAACGCCATGGTGGTCAACTTGTCGGCGGCGGACCTTCTGGCCTGCACCGCCGCAGTGCCGCTAGGGCTGGCGGTGGTGCTGGCGAGCACAGCCAGTACACCCCTACCCAGTCAGCTCTGCCACGTCCAGACCTTCTTCTCCACCCTGTGTAACCTGGTGACGCTATTGATGCTAGTGGGGATCAGCGTGGACAGATGGCTCAACATCACATATCCCTTCACAAGGTAGGGCCGTCTCTTTGCCATAAAAACAGAAGGGTATCATCACGTAATTATCTCTTTTCCAACAGTTGTTCTCTACTGGGGGGCCTTAAAATTAACAGGTTTGCTTGTCAATGATTACACTTCAGCTACGTTGTATCTTATTTGCAAAACCCACATTTAAAAATTCGCACTAGAACAAAAAGAGGCGGCAACGGGGTTCATTCATTTTTTTCTGTATCTATACAATCTATCTTTGACTGTTCTCTGGAATTGGGTTATCTGTTTTGTGGTTAAATATGTGATTTGATTACTTGTCATTTACATACTCTGTATGTGTATAGAAAATTAATGAAAACAATCATACAATAGATCTAGACATGGTAATTGCGATGGATAGGAAGCTTTGTCATCACAAACTATGAGGTAAATACAGAACATCATTCGTGCAATCGGACCATGTACAGAGGTCTACCCTTGGGAAATTAGAGGGGACATAGTTACCAATAAGATGAACTTCTGCCAATTATTGCTTGGCTGGACGTATGTCAAGTATAATGATGACCCCGATATTCCCCCTGTGGCGGTATGAGATGTTGTGTGTGTTATGAATCGAAGCCGACATCGATCGTGTGTAGACGGTGAATCTGTGACCATGTCAGGTTCTGTTCCGCTCGCTTGGTTGCGCCTGGCTGGTGCGAACCCGTGAAGCTCACGCGACCTGCATTAAGTACTACCCTACTTCTATGGTCTCCGGATAAAAGGCCAGATTTCCTATCTGTGTAGAGAAGAAAGAGAACTGTGAGAGTATGCCGCGACATGGGTAGTATATGTGTGCAATGTAGGCGTGAACTTCTACGTACACGTAGTCGATGTTATATGCCGAAAAAAAATTTAGGATTTTTCGAGCAGGTTAAAAGGTGCATTGGCCATGCCTGTGATTTAGAATTACATGGTGCAAACACCGTTCCGCGACCTCTTATGAATAAATCATTACCTGAAGATTAAGGATTTAGAAGAGTAATATCCGGCAGTGTGGGAATGGGGGTGGAAGTTGTTGTTAAAAAGCAACTGAAAATGGATGGTTATTTGTAGAATTTACATTAATAAGGTATATAGAAGCAAAGCTTTTAAGCCAGTTAAGTGTTGTTAAGCACGAGAAAGCCATCCCTGCCGATGTAAATGATAACTTGTGTCATAAACACCAGATTCTTGCATTTTTCACATTACAGATTTCCCTCCGGCCCATTAAATGAGTCATTTTCTCTGTCATGAAAAATGTCAAAGCTGCAGTTTTCAAAGCTAATTTTCACGACCTAGTTGGAAACAGATTCATTAGTAATTTAATTGTGAGGTCCGGCTGTTTCTTTGATGACACGTGTTTCAATATGCCTCCAAGCCGTCATTCAGTCAATTCTAGTTGTACTAATTACCGACTACTACTTAATATGAGAAAGGTGGCCTTGCTGCAAACTCTACATGTATAGTGCTTTTTGTAGTCTCCATGCATACATGCTGCTTTTTGACGTAGACAGTTGAAGCCTCTTCATATATCATGACAGCATGCGACACACACTTATGGTATTGCCTTTTGAAGTCTAACTTTGCCAGTAAAGAAAAATATTCAAGGCTACGTCTGCCAACCTAATCCAAAAACAGGACAAGGCTGATCATATTCTGTGTACATGTACTTCTAAAGACGCTAGGAGAGACACATTGCGCTAGGCTATAGGACAATACATGAAGGTAATATCACAGTGTATAATCCTACAATGTAGGTAATCCCACCATCCCTAAAATGGCACTGAAAACATGTTCTCGCTAATGCACGAGTTGATCTCGCTGTCCACGACACTAGAGCAAGGCTATGATGATGCATGTAGGTAATCCCGGGGTATTAACGCTTCCCGGTGACCACGCAACGCCCGGCCACTCTGCTAATGCCGACCTGAGCCTCCTCCTGATGCGACGATCATGGGTCGACTGGAAGATTGGAAGACGAAATATTTCACACATGGACATCAAAGGAACACGGCAACTACAGTTCTAGTTAAAACTCTCTTCATTTAACAACAAGAAATAATCATTACGTTTTTCGCTCTTTTATTGTCAGGATTTTTTTCATCCAATGTTTCCCCCATTGTTCAATGCGCCCTTCTTTTTGCTGTCAACGTTGCAAGAACTTAGTAAGACAGAGCCATAGATCCTAGCCATAGGCTCACTGCACAAGTGTTTCGCCGTAGATTACCATAAAACCATTTTCACGAGTTCCCTTGGAATTGTCATGAGGCTGTATTCCAAGATTAACTCCGCCGCCAACACCCACTCCATAGTTTTAATAAAATTCTGCAGCCTGTAACGTTACCATATTCTATCATCATGCCAAACCTGCACCATGCATCACACAGACAGTAAAAATAATTATGGTCGCGACCCCAAGCTCTCGACCCGAGCAACCCACACATTATGGAGGAAGTGGGTAGATTCCCAAACAAACCTGGGTGTAGCTACTCAAAATTCAATGTAACATTGATCATTCATGTAGTACGTGACATAAATCTATAAGAAAACGCACGAATACACCCTTACGAGAATTGTACAGCTTACTGAAGTATAGAAAGCTAAGACAAGAGAATGAAACGCCTAATGCGGTCCCTCCAGTTTGAGTACCTTGGGTGTGACAGTGTTGTCATCTGGGCGTTCATCTCCATCTAGCTGAACGTTATGCTTCAAGTCTTCTGGCAACATCATCAATCCAAAACTGGTTCAGTGACAAGCATCGCGGGAGACACGGGTTGACCCACTCTCCAAATCCTGGCAAAAAAGCTTTTACCCGCGAATGTGTCTTGACTCCTACATGCGTACTTAGCACCCGTGGGAACGTCACATTGGTCAGAACTAAAGGCCGACTCCCTCGGATTCAGCGCGCCTATTCATCATGATCAACCCGTAAAGCAACAAGTTTTGGAGAGGAGACAGCGATGGTACGGCACCGCTGGAAACAAGCGCTGCCAGACTTAAGTGGCAATTGGATCTATGTTGGCACGTTGTAACCACTTGTTTGGGCATTAGATACTGGATTTATCGATGTTGCATGTGTATATAACATATTGCGCTTGAGATAGGAGAGGAAAATCTAGATGAATATTGCCAGCATCACTCAGGCAGGTATCGGCAGATTGGGATTATATTTTAGTATGCGTGTAGGATTGTAGTCTTGATAGGATGAAGGTCAAGGTATGTAGTGGGGCTATTTTGGGGCTTTCCTTGGTACTGAATTGCCGGTTTTTTATCCTCCGTTCTGGAAATGCTATGGTCTTCACATTGGGTGAGAGACAGCTTTTGGGGTCAGAAATAAATACTTAAGATCCCCCTAACAGTGTCCCAGGTATACAAAATATAAGAGTTAAAGGATACAAGAATACACTTAATATTGCAACCTGATGTTATGCCTAGCGAAAACAAAAAGTGCATTGCGTTCACATTTCCGACCTGAATGTCAAGAAGGATTATGTACAAGTGCGAACCCGACTGGATTCATCAGATAGAATATCCTGCCGTGCTGCATTTACATAACTCTTCCATTAGCTGGGATGTGTTTCTGTGCGTCAGTTGTGATAAATCTCCTCTCATCAAACTGACAGTCGAGATACTATGAAACAACTGGACCATTGTTTGCATGCTGGTTGATATATAAAAGAGCGAGATTTGGTGATATAGTTTATGTAGGTGTGTTTCTGTCTACCGTATCCTGTGTAGCATTTCATTGATGCATTAGATATTTCATTTATTCAAGTTTCAGTCTACTGCAGTCTACCAATTGATAAATGGCAATGTAATTATGATTTCGCCATTGCATTTAGATTTAGTTATATCAGCGCCATGGTGTGAACTACAGAATAAGTAGCTGTACTCCGCACCAGTAATGAGGTGCAACCACTCATGCCTTGGGAACAAATTACCTGCACCTAATCAGATTAACGTTAGCACAGACTCCAGTTGCCGCGAGTAACGCTGATAGTAATAGGGACGTATGGGGCGATTCTAAGCGACCAGCTGCTTTGTTGTTCATTGAATAAGTTTTTCATACGCTATACAAAAGGATAGTAGGGTCCCTTTTTCTCTGGATGGAGAGAGAGCCCAAGCCCATTGAAAGCCCAAGCTTGGCTTTGTATGACCTTACGTTATAAAAAATTGGAATATATCCATGATCAGTGAAAGGGAGTTTTTGTAGAATACATATAGTTGGAAAATACATTATTTTTTAAACAATGTGGCAAATAGACTAAATCAGTACATTCTATCATCTAACCGTATATGTATTACCAGAAATGCATGTGATAAGTGATAGAAATCACTGTAATTGAAATGGGATGAAAACCCATTCAAGATCATATGTCGGAATCAAAGTGATCATTTGCTTTGGCGCCTCGGTCCTTACGGATGTACATAAGAGAGATTTCCGGTTGTTCACAACACTTGTCAGCTTTAGTACATAGCCGTCGGCTGCAACTCTCTCAGCTTTTAAGCAAACTCAGCAAAATATACCCAGTTCGGCTCATTTGGGACGGAGTTGAACCAGGTGTTGTAAACTAAACGGTTTATAAAATATGGTAATGTTGTGCAAAGTGAAAAATGTGCCAGATGTCTGTCTAGTCTACCAGATGTCTACAGAGTTAGTCAGACTAGAAAGGCAACATTTGCGAGCATGTGCGGCATATTTCACTCCCTATCCCTATGCCATAAAAATGGTTATCTCAATCCAAGTTGGATACGAAGCGAAATATATACGGTATAGAAATATGAATAGATATGATCCATGCTTTTAAGGGCTAGAATATAAAATATATGAAGAAAGAAGTAACGATATGAAAATGCACAGCTAAGCATAACCAGCAAAATATTGTAAGATATTATAGAAGAGTCTCGGCCTTTTAGTGAACCTTACAATACGTGCCGTACGTGCCTACAACACATACATGTCCATTATTTTTAACAAGCAAAGGTAGTCACACGAGCCTATG